TGTACATATCTGAGTTTTAACAAATGCAATTTCTTCTGTGGAGAATGAGCATTTGCCTTCTCTTTCTAGACAGCAATCCATTGAAATTCATTTTGTTATTTTCTCCTGTTAGACTAGGTTACCCTAGTGGGAAAGAGCAATCCAAGATCTGTGTTTTGAAATCCAATGCATAATTTCTCTCTCACATTCCTTGTTCACAGTGAGTCCTCAGGTCATAGTCATCCAGGGATCCAGTCTGACCAAACACTGCCAATCACTCTGGGAGGGAGGACACTGTAGAGGGTCTCCTAACATGGGAGTGACACACATCATTTCTTCTCACAGCTCATTAGCAAGAACTAGTTACATGGCCTTAGCCAACCAGGAGGACCTGGAAATATAGTCTACTATGTTCATGCAAAGCAAGGCTAGAATCACTTAACACTAATGTATATCTCATCCACTCTATGTAGCATTCCCTGCTGCCCCAGCAGTGTCCCTTTGCACCCCCAGCCCTGCCAGGGTGTTTTGTGTATTTATTAGTCATGGTAATTATCACATTGCATTGTCATCATATTTACTTATCTTTTTTTCTTTTTAATTGCCAAAGGGCATGTGCATTACCTGGCAAAGACAGAGACACAGAGAGAGAGGCAGAGAAAGCACTCCCCAAAGAGACATGGTCATGCCACAATCCCTACTCTATTTCTCCATCCTGTTGATATATTTAAAGTTCACCCTTACATGCACTTACTGAATATTTCAAGCCCTGGGGCCAGGGTTCAAATCACAGTTGGCTTTTTTCAATATAACTCCCATAACCATAAGGCAATGGGGCCAGCCCTACTTACTTTTTCATCTCCTCCGTGAGACTAGGAGTTTCTCAAGGACTCTCAAGGACTAGCTCATAATAAGTGTTTGATATGTAGATGTATCTGAGAACAGAGACTATATATCTACAGTAAAAGTCAAGTCATTACAGTGGTTTACGAGGTTGTGCATGACTCGGCTCTGTGACCTCTCTGACTTCATCTTCCCCCCATATACTCCCCCATTCACCCAGTCATGCTCTCATAGACTGCCCAGGTAGGCTTCTGCCTCAGAGTCCTCATACTGGCTGCCCCCTGCAGCTGGGCTGCACTCTCTCAGCCATCTGATTGACTTGCTCCTCCACTTCTGTCAAGTCTCCACTCAGCTGTCACCTAATCAGAGAAGTTTCTCCCAGATCCATAAAATATCAACCTGACCCCTCTCGTCCTGTAAACTTTCCTCTATCTACTTTCATTTTTCTCATCAGCACTTACCACTTACACACACACGACTAGGAGTTTCTCAAGGACTCTCAAGGACTAGCTCATAATAAGTGTTTGATATGTAGATGTATCTGAGAACAGAGACTATATATCTACAGTAAAAGTCAAGTCATTACAGTGGTTTACGAGGTTGTGCATGACTCGGCTCTGTGACCTCTCTGACTTCATCTTCCCCCCATATACTCCCCCATTCACCCAGTCATGCTCTCATAGACTGCCCAGGTAGGCTTCTGCCTCAGAGCCCTCATACTGGCTGCCCCCTGCAGCTGGGCTGCACTCTCTCAGCCATCTGATTGACTTGCTCCTCCACTTCTGTCAAGTCTCCACTCAGCTGTCACCTAATCAGAGAAGTTTCTCCCAGATCCATAAAATATCAACCTGACCCCTCTCGTCCTGTAAACTTTCCTCTATCTACTTTCATTTTTCTCATCAGCACTTACCACTTACACACACACACACACACACACACACTCATTCACTCACAAATGTCTGTTACATTATCATATATTAAATATCACATAATTTGTATTATGTAATGTAGTGTTTGATATACATAATTATTTTGTACATGTATTTGTTGCCTGCTCTCCTTTATACATGCATACACACTTGAATATACTGTCTGTGTGTAAAGGAACCAGCCTATAGTAGGTACTCAGTAAACATCAGTCAAACGAATAAAAGACAAGGGAATAAATGTATTCCCTGAGTTTTCACATCTCTGATCCAAAAATCAAAATGTTCAGTCTCTTCCTCTTACATAAGATTTTGAGTCCCTTCAACAACCTTGCCACTCAGAAGTGACCAATGATCAACACAATAGAGTGCACAGCAACCTTTATTATCCTGTTCTACATGTCAACCAAGAGACTTCAGAGGTTACAAAACTCACTCTGTTGGCTGACTCATAGTAAGTTTAGCAATTTACTGAACTCTTTTTGACACATACTAGGGGGTCTCCAAAAATCTAATGGAAAATGTATATGATAAAATATCTAAACACTTTGTAATCAAAATAAACTTTTACCTTTTCTGTGTATGTGGAGACTTTATGAAGGCCCCACTTTCCAAAATTAAGTGGCACTTCCCTTCTCTCTATAATTTTATAATTGATGCTTTGGGACTAAGTATAGGACCTAACATTGTTCCTCTTAATTTCCATATCACTTGTCTTCCTTTTTATTTATAACATCATTTACTCTTTCACTTATTTACTGAGTGCCTACTGTGTGCCAAAACTCTATGTTAAGTGCTATGGGGTGTTATGTGATAAGTGTACAAATCTCAAAAGTAAAAGGTTATTTGGTGGTGTCAACATGAGTCAGATAAACAAACTCTAGTTCAGTAAGACAGAGAGCTAAGGCCTCTTCTATACGTAAATGGCTGATAGCAAAGCCGTTTGTGGGACGCTTTCTGTGACCAAGGGCAGAAGTGGCACTTAAAGCAAGCTTTGCCGAGAACCTGACATCAGAAGGCAGGTAGAGAGTGATTTGGGGAGAACTCATAGTTATAAGGGCAGTTTGTTTCAAACATGTCACTCTACGTGTCCTCAAGCTTGATTTATCTCATCTGGGAGTGACCAGTGATTGCTACTACTCATCACTCCATGCTCCTCACCCATCTCTGCAAACCATTGTTATTTATTTTAATTAATGTCTGGTATTGGACAAGTGTCATACAGATAATAACTCAAACATCATTTCAACCTCATAAATAATGTACCATTATTACTTCCACTTTGGAAATGGGAAAACTGAGGCATAAAGAGAGTAAGTAATCTTCACACACCTAGAAAGTGTAGGAGCTGAAGTTCAAGCTTAAGTAGTCTTTGTAGTTGCAATATCTCTGTTTCCTGTCCACATGGAAACAGGGCAAATTATAGTCCAATATACAAGATAAAAGTAGAGTAATAAAGCACAGCTTTTATACATGTCACTAATACAGAAATCCCTAATAAAGTCAACTCTCAGACATTGTCCAGAACCTAAATTAAAGAAAGCAGTAAGTAACTTGAGCATATGAAGAGGGATTAGATGAGTTGGAAAAAGATTCACCCTTTTGCTGATGGAATGTTTACTCACTCTTTCAACTTTCCATTCTTCCATATGTTCCACTCATCCATTCAGTCCACACCTATGAGGTTCTGAGCACTTGCTCCATGCTAGAAACATGGTCCCACATTACAAGCAAGACACGGTCTGGCCTAATGGACATAGCAGTCTTGGTGAAGAGAAGCAAGCAAAGGAAGCCCAGCAAAGGCGAAGGAAACCCATGATCTAGTGTGGCAAGTACTATCAGAGGGGGGCGCAGAGGAATGTGGGAGATTAACTCGGCCTACATATAGAGGAATAGATAAGAGGATAGGAGGAGAAAGATGAGAAAATAATACTGATAGAGAAAGGAACATTGTATCTGGCCCAAGCAAAATGTTCTAATCTCAGTGTTACTGAGAAAACCCTAGAATTTACACAATTTTCATCAAAGATGATAGAAAATTAAACATCTCTTTCAAGAAAATCACTGAGGCATAGTCATTAAGAACACAGCTTTTGCAAGCAGTTGGGTAGGTCTGCATTCAGTATTAACCCCTCTAGGTGGAATTTCCTCCATTGTCTGAGGGTCTAATCATCATGCCCCATCCCAGGGCAGCCCAGAGTGAGTGAGACGGTGAGTGTGGTGTACAGCACGGTGCTCACAGTGCCATGCAACAAAATCAGCTGTCCTTTGCTACCTTCTTCTCAGACTCCTAGTTACTCCTAGTTGGTCCCTTGGTCCTTAATCTTCTTTATCTTTAGAAACAAACTTTGTACATCTCTTTTCTCTTTTACATAAGGAATACAAAGGGAATATACTTCCTGTAGAATTGACTTGCATAACCATGAAGTTATTGTACTCTGTAGTTCTTGGTAACTAGCTAACCAGCAGAGGAGCTAATTTATTATTTTAACAATTTAAACAGAACCTCAGAAAAAAGACACCCCGTGGCCACAGAGCACTAGGACTGTACTAATGAGAAGATTAAAAGAAAGTGTGGCTCACACCGTTACAGTTAATCATAAATGTACCCAAAGATTATTAATAATCACAGTTACCTACAACTATATTGTTTGCCTGGTTGGTTATTCTAAAGTCAACCTGTACTGAATAGACCAGCTTAGAGGAGTTCATGAATTCGTGATTGTGAAGGGGATTGTTGAGCCCCTCCACAGTAAATATCTGGAGAGATGTGAGAGGGCACCTAGAGCTCCAGTCTTCTTCATCCTAATTTCATTCAGATGAGAAAGAAGTTCAGAGTTCTCCTAGAGGAATAGCTTGTTCACAGAGCCTCCAGCCCTAGCACTGTTGTGTTTTTGATTACCAGGGAGCCAGACACATGTGTTCTAGAGAAGTCTTTTGGAAAAACAAAATGGTCTTCTGCAGAAGCAGTGTGCTTTTTTTTTTTTTAATTTTTATTATCATCATAATCTTCTTTATATTACATTGGATTACATATAACTTTACAGTGTATTACATTGTTTTTTCAAAAGGGAGCAGAAGCAGTGTGCTTTTCAAGGACCCTGTCCTGGGCTTTTATGATCTTGGCAGCTACTGTCCTTTTCTAACATCCCCCTTGAAAATCTTTGGCCATCTACTCTTTAGCACTGAAGGATTGTACCAAGACACAGGTCTCAGAAGTCATCTTGTTTCTTGGCTTTTCTTACAGATTCCCACAACTCCATGCTGCGTGCTGCAGGCTGGTCTTGAACCTTGAGCTCTGGCTGAGAGGATGGGGGTAGAGGGGGAAACAGCAGTCCTGAAGCACATGCTTATTGGTGTCCACCTGATCCTTCTGGGCTCCATACTCAAGCCCTCAGAGTGTCAACTAGAGGTCACCACAGAAAGAGTCCAGAGAAGACCAGGGGAGGAGGAAGGAGGTGCCTCCAGCTACAACACATCCAGCAGAGAGCAGCCCATGGTCTTCAACCATGTGTACAACATTAATGTGCCTCCAGACAGCCTCTGCTCCTCGGGGCTGGAAGCCTCAGCTGAGCAGGAGGTGAGTGCTGAAGACGAGGCCCTGGCAGAGTACACAGGCCAAACCTCGGACCACGAGAGCCAGGTCACCTTTACTCACAGGATCAACCTCCCCAAAAAGGCCTGCCCATGCTCTAGCTCAGCCCAGGTGCTGCAGGAGCTGCTGAGCCGCATCGAGATGTTGGAGAGGGAGGTGTCAGTGCTGCGGGACCAGTGCAACGCCAACTGCTGCCAAGAGAGCGCCGCCACAGGTAGAGTCTGGGGAGCCTGCCTTGGGTTCTAGGAGGGGCAAGAGAAGGCTCAGCAGAGTGGAGAATGAATGAGAGAGCGTGAGGCACTCCCTGCGAAAACCAGCATCTCTTCTTGAGGTCTGAGGGAAAAAGTGCCCTAGTCTGCCGCTCTTGGTTAATGTATCTAAGATCTTAATGCAGTCCTTCCCGGGGGACTCAGTTCAGGGATTCTCTCTGCTGCTCAGTCAGTTTGAAATACATTAACCTGATTTTGGGGGGATGAGTCAGGTAATGGTACATCGGTTCAGCACAGCAACTTAGATCGCAAGCAGGGAATTTGCTGTCTGTCTTCATTCATCTTTGGTTTTCACAGGCTGTTGAATTGATATCTATCCATGTTAACCTGAGGGACTAGAGAACACTGTGCTCCGTTCACTCTCACAGCCTTCCTCCCCTCTGAGTAAATGATAGTCATTAATGTCTCAGAGGACCTGTCCCCATCTCCTCCAGCAGGATGGGACTTTTATCCCCTGCCCCTCTACACACATGAATGTGCTCACACACACACACACACACATGCACAGGTGCATGTGTACTACCGTCTCACACACACCCACATCACAGAACATATTCTGCCCTCCAAATGGCTGAATGTTCAGGGGATTTACTTCCCACCTTGCCCAACCCCTAACTTAATAGCAACACTGAGTTATAATCTTTACCTTTCTGAGACATGGTTGAGTCTTCAGAGCCAGACTTCCCAAGCTCACACCCTGGCTCTGCTACTTCTAGCTTGTGACCTAAGCAAGCTAAACCAGCTGTGCCTTCCTTTCCCATCTACAAATTGTAACCGACTAGAATAAGGAGTTATTAATGCTAAAAGCATCAGGGCCAGGTAGTGTGGAGGTTAAAGCAGCTGGATCCCACATAGCCAATTCTACAGGTCGAGTCTCGTACCCGGCAACTTGAAAGCCACACCAGGCATGTGTGCATGTGTGCCCAAAATCCTGAGAGGAGAATAGAGAAGAAAGGATTACACTATGACGATCTTCCCTACCCATGTGGGGGGGAAGGGGTGCGCTCTCTCTCTCTCTCTCTCTCTCTCTCTCTCTCACTCTGTTTCTCTGTGGTGAACACATGTGCCCTATAGCAAATTTTTAAAAAAAGGCAACAATTTGTAGGAAAGCACCATATAAACAATAGCTATTATCAGCTATCACCTAGGGAGGAGAATTGGTCTCTTCCTTCTGTGTTCAGTTTTTCTCCCCACAAGGTACTCAAGACCCAGTAATCCAGTTCTTTAATGAAACTTTATTATCTTGGGTTCAAGCATTCAGCTCTATAGGACCCAGGACCCAAGGCTTTCACAGGACTGAAAGCAAGAGATGGCAGGAGTGAGATTTTAGCAAAACCTGGATAGACCATAGCTCCAGAGGGATATCAAACACTTCCACCTAAGACGAAGCAAGATTAGGGGCAGGCTTTAAGTAATGAAGCAGTTCATAGGCTCTTCTTGCCTCCTTCTTCTCTCCATAACCCAAACAATAAACAATCTGAAGAAAAGAGAAAGTCAGGCTATTCAGTCTCTGATTCTTCAGTGAGAACTTCCAGGTCAGTTCATATTTTCAATGGAGCTGGAGAATAAGGGGAAGCTATAGGCTTCCACAAACATGGCCTTTGCTACTTAGGAAGCCAGGTGGCCTCTACAAGTAGGCTTTTTATCAGCCAGGCTCCTGGCACACATGGAAAAAAAAAATCTACAAGGCAGAGTTCTGTGAAGCAATGGCAGCGTAGAATCTTTACAGGCTGTGGGAGCTGCGTGAAACAGCAAAACTGAACAAGATCTAACTTACCAGGCTCCACATCCTCAGGGCCAAGTGCAGAAAAGGATGTCGGGTGGATACTCTGTGTTTGCTTAATATAGTTGTCTGGTTCATGTGAGACAGATAAGCACTATAGTTATATCACAATAAGGGTTAGGCCAGAATTATACATTTGATTCCTGAAGGGATCACAGCAGATAGTAACTAAATGCAACTGAGGTTCTGGGAAGCCTTTGAAGTAACCTAGTGCTGAGTTTGAACAGATGAGAAGCTTTGGTTAGACAACAGGAAGGGAGGGAAGGGTTTGGATGGGGTTTTTAACAGGTGCGATCTTCCTCTGCATGGACAAGCCAGTGCCCAGCCTACCTCCCCTCGATTACTCAGTCTCTGCAGCCAGTACCTGGGCATCTTTATCAGAGGGCTGTCCTTGAACCTAAGAAAATGAGCAGGGATTTACATGCCTTCAGGGAAAGTTTTTAGCCCATTATGAGGTGTGACCTGCATCTTATAGGATTGAACCCAAGTTACTCTCCTGATAAGGCACCTGGTTTGGGCACCTTCTCTTCCTGCTCTTCCTCTATCCCCTACCAGTTTCTCCTGGGAACACCTTTCACTAAGCCTCGTTTGCATGACCTTCATCTAAGGTCTACTTCTAGGGAACCCAACCTGAGATGCCCTGAAGTTGAACCCTGAAGGTCCAGGGACCAGATCTCAGCCACTTCTGCCCCAGCACTGTACTGGCATAGAGAGCCCACGAGAGGTGGAAACCTTTATTAAGCGGAATATGTACCAGGCTATGAGAGAACGTCAAAAAGTTGGTGAAAACGTAAAATTAAAATATGAGTTCATTTTTGTGCAAGAAAATGAAAATCCAGGGACCAGCAAATGGTATAGTGGTTACACCACTGGTCTCCCACATGGCCAACTGTGGTTCAAGTCCCAGACCTGGTGGCTTGAAACTCACTCCAGGTGCATGTGCATGCGTGCCCAAGATCCCAAGAGGAGAATAGAGGAGAAGGGACTGCAGTCTGGCCATCCCCCAGGGGAGTGATTTTTCACTTTCTCTCCCACTGTCTCTGTCCCTGTTTCTCTCTCTCTCTCTCTTTCTCTGATGAGTGCATGTGCCCTAAGGCAAAAACCTCTAAAAAAATCCATACATAGCTTTTTCATACTACATATTTTCTGTGAACTTTTTAAAGACCCTCTTTATATGTTGCTCTTAACTCTTAGCAACACAAATCTGATCAGAGAAAGAGTGGAGGCCTCTGCCGGCTTCTCCCAGCCCCATCTACAGGAGAGGCTGCTGCTGCCCTTTGACCTTCTGCTTGACCATTCCAGGACAATTGGACTATATCCCTCACTGCAGTGGCCACGGCAACTTTAGCCTCGAGTCTTGCGGGTGCATCTGCAATGAAGGCTGGTTTGGCAAGAACTGCTCCGAGCCCTACTGCCCCCTGGGTTGCTCCAGCCGCGGTGTGTGTGTGGATGGCCAGTGCGTCTGTGACAGTGAATACAGCGGAGACGACTGTTCTGAGCTCCGGTGCCCGACAGACTGCAGCTCCCGGGGGCTCTGCGTGGACGGCGAGTGTGTCTGTGAAGAGCCCTACACGGGCGAGGATTGTGGGGAGCTGAGGTGCCCCGGGGACTGTTCAGGGAAGGGGAGATGCGCCAACGGCACCTGTCTGTGTCAGGAGGGCTACGTTGGCGACGACTGTGGCCAGCGCCGGTGTCTGAACGCCTGCAGCGGGCGAGGGCACTGCCAGGAGGGGCTCTGCGTCTGTGAGGACGGCTACCAGGGCCCCGACTGCTCGGCAGGTAGGAAGGGGAACTTTGCGGGGCAAGTGGCCAGGGTGGTCTGGCACACTGGGAGAGGGATGGGAAGGAGGTGAATTTTAGGCTAAAAGACTCTCCCTTGGGTTATGCTCATTTACTGTGTTCATTTCTTGAGTCAATAACAATTGAGGAGGAAGGCCAAAAGGGAAAAGGATGGAAATCAGAAAAGGTCAGGTTCAAGCTAGGAGTTAAGACTGGAACAAAGGTAATGGTGATAATGATGAGAACACTCCATAGTCGTTGAGGTAGGGGAGGGCAGAGGGTGAGGTCACGGTACCTCCTTAGGCAAAGCCATTCTCTAACTCTCCACCAACTGGAAAACACCCCTCCCCCCCTTACCTGTTCTTATACTCCAGGGACACCTCTTTCTGTAATGATACTGCAAGGGACAGTGGTTAGTCTGTGAGGCTCTCTGGTTATCTTGGAGCTTACAGACTACAAGTTGTTACTAATTTATGAAATGATCTAATATCCACGTGGAGAAAAATGTTTGCAGGCAAGTAATTAAATGTAAACAGAAATAAAGAGCTAAAGGCATCAAGCAACAACTAGCATTCTAACAATTAATACAGAATAGTAAAAGGATATGATTCACTTTTATATAGTTCCAGATGACTACATAAAAAATCAGAACCAACCCCATAAAGTAATCCACACTGTGGAAACTAAAGGAAAGGTAATATTCTAAAAATGGAGATGTAAATCCAACAGTGGATAAAATATCAAGATCTCAGGGAGGTTAATTCTTTGTTTTTTTTGTTTGTTTGTTTTGTTTTGTTTGCTCCAAATCAGATTTTCTTGATTTCACTACTGTTCATCCACTTCTGACTACATCAGTCACTATTGCTCATATATTTGTGTTTTAAACAATGCAGATTAAGTCATTAATCCTTTTCATAGGTTCCTTTTAGGTTTCAGCATTCTGACTGGAAGCTATAAGATAAATAATAACAACAAGCATTTTTAAACCGAATTAAGTGATTCTAAAAATTTTCTTTTTCTTTAGAGAATTATTTTAATTTTTATTTATTTATTTGTTTGATCACTTAAATTTGACCAGAGAGGGACAGAGTGAAAGAGAGAGAAACAGAAAGTGAGAAAGCAAGCCACCAGGTCCAGGACTCGAACCATGGTCAGCCCTGTGGAAGTCCAGCACCCTTAAGCACCATGCCACCTGCCAGCCCCAATTCTAGGAATTTTCTAATCTGACATCAGTTTAGGAGATAAATCCTGGGAAGTCAGCATTACCAGCCTCCTATTCTTCAGCACCAATGATTCCCACCTAAATGGCAGGCAAGGTTCCTACACATGTAAATGAAACTTACATTCTTTTAAAAGATCAATGGCAATAATAAAAGAAAAACAGTAATAATGCAGTGCTTAGAAAAAAAATCTTAGTGTTCCTTAATTTTTGTCCATATGCAGCTATGTCCTTTAACCTCCCAATTATGTTCACTGAATTGAAAAATCTTTTTAAAAATATAGATGATCATTATACCAATTATTCCACAGCAAATTTCAAGCAGAAGTTAAACCTTACTGTTTCTGAGTTCAGCATCACTGGGCAGTTACTAGGAAGCAAATCCATAGTCTAGCTGTAAGCCCCACCCAGAGGATGAGGCTCCATAAGACTATCTGGAGGATGCTAAGAGTTGGTCTGGGCCATTGTTGTGCTAATGCTGTTTCATAATACACATGTATCTTAATAGACTTGACCTTCATTGGCCTAGATAGCTGTCATGTGCTTGACCCTGCTTTTCTATAGGGTTAGGTCCATTTACAAACAAATATTGATCTGATCTCAGATCCTTACTAAACTGGAGATAAGCCCTCCTGGTCACCTCAGGGAAGATATAGTAGCTGCTAGCAAAATGCCAACTAGGTTGAGTCCAAACCATGAATACACATTACCTCTGACAGGTTACCTCTGTGTTGCTTGAGGAAGACTTCTATAGGCCCAGATAAATTGCCCTACATGTTCCCAAAGTCTGTGAGGAAGGACAGCTGCATAATCTCCATCTGTTTCTATAGCAACCCTGGAGCTACCACTCATTGCAGGAGGGTCTGCTCTGAACGCCTGCCTTTTAAACCAAGTGCTACAGGTCTCTCCCAGAAAAGTATCTAGGTCATTATCTAAAGTGCTACTTTGCTTATCTTTGTAAAAAGGCTGTAGGAAAAGGGCTATTTATCCATGGTTTGACATTTCTGGCCAGGTGTACTCACCACAGCAAAACTGCTCCTGTTTTCTATAGGAGGGAGCAGAAGAAGGAGAAGGATGAATAAGGTGAGAGCATGGGGAGCAACCAAACATAGGCCATATTTTTCTCTTTGACAAGTGCATGGAAAACAGCCCCCCATTGTGTGGGTTTCATTCTGAGGCCCCTTAGGTCCCAGTGCTTAAACAGAATTGAGCAGTGTCAGCAAGGCCGCTGTGTTGGACTCCTCGCCTTGATCTGTGCTCGCAGTGTGCCATGGGACACAATCTCAAGCTTTCTGCCTCCATCTCTGCCTATGTACAGATAATAGGACAAACACTTCATGAACATGGGCACACAAAGCAGACCTTAGAAAGAAGCTACTCTAGGCTTCTCATTTTACAGATTTAAAAAGCAGCAGTCTGGAGAGACAGATTTTCCCAGTCAGACAGCAAATTAATGGCAAAGTAAGTATGAAAATCCTGGTCTCCTACCAGCTTCTAGCGCTCTTTAATTCTCTCCAGGATGCTAAGTAGAACAAAAATGAAAAATAAAAATCTTAAAGCCACATGCACAAAGAACTAGCCTTTTGATATGGAAGCTGTTTTCTGTCAAATGACTAAATAAATAAATAAATAAATAAATAAATAAATAAATAAATAAATAAAAAATAAGGTGTTGGAGATAGGGAAAAGAAGCACATTAAACTACTTGTCCACATTTGTCCCCAGAGATGGCAGTTACTATAGGAGCTGGCCAATGAGTTGGCCACAACTCCCTACGAGTCAGCAGGATGAAAGAACCCTTGGAGCAGGGTCCTGAAACAATTCAGAAAGCTGTTCCCTGGACTTCAGTCAGACCTGTGGAGATTCATCAGTGTCGGTGCCTGCCTCTGTCAGGACTAGAGCCAGCCCAGTCTTGGCACCTGCAAACCCTTGCTCTTTCAAGCAAGACATATCATGGAACAAATTCCTACTATTCTTGCCACATCAGTGCAAAACTGATGCAAGATTTAAGAAATAGCCAGAATGGCATCTTTGTAGACAAGCAACCCCAAGTTCTTGAGCCACAGTTTACTCTTTAACAGCTTAAGCTTCCTTAAGTTTCAAAGTGGCAACATGAAAGAAAAGAAGACCTGGAATACTTTGAGCCCACCATAAATTCATTGAATCAAGGCACATAGGTCTTTTATTATAGTTTGCTTTACTATTCAATAGCATTTCTTTTTTACTGACTGTCAATGCATACACCTACTGCTAAGTTATAGGCAAGGTGGTGATAGAGTCTGCTGCTGAAACCCAGCCCTCAGGAGCTCTTCTCCCCTCAGCTCTCAGGAGCTCTTCTCCCACATTTGACACCAGCTGTTGCCTTCTCAGTCTAAAGTTAAGACAGTGTTTATCAGGCTCAGGCCCCAAACTAAGCTGCCGAGGTAAAAATAACTCTGCCCCTTGGACCACTAGATGGCATGGTATTAAGGTGTTGGACTCCCACATGGCTGACTGCAGTGTAAGTCTTGGACTTGGTAGCTTGAATATCATGCTGGGTGTGTGTATACATACCCTAAATCCCTAGAGAAGAATGGAGGAGAAGGGATTATGGCATGGCCATCCCCCCAGGGGGTGATTTCTCACTTTCCCTCTTATTGTCTCTCCCTCTCTCTTTCTCTCTGTCTCTCCCTGGGGAGCACATGCACCCAATGGCAAAAACCTAAAAAATAAAAATAAAAAATTCTGCACCTCTTTTTTGCTTTAAAATTCTAAAATGCTTTGCTTACATCACCCTCCATTGCCATTAGTATAACACCTTTATTTTCTGGAAGAGGAACCAAAGAAAGGAATATACTGATTTGCCCAAAAGGTTGTAAGAAATTTTGGAGACTTGAAATTAGGAATGGTCATTTCTGTCACTGTGACAGAAGTCCTGCAGAGGAAACTTGAAGTCACAAAAGATAGGCACCAGAGGGCCTTCGCAGAGTTTTCTTACCCCTAGTATGAATACCAGTCTGGAAATCACATCCTATATGATTCTCTGAATTATTCCCTAATACCATTTACTTTGAGGGGCTATATAAAAATAAAAGAAAGCATCTGTCACAACTTGTATCCTTCCCCACAAATTGTCAGGGAAAAGAATGCTAAGCATAGATCTGAATTTGAAAGTCAGTTCTGTTGTGACCTAACTCCCTAATCTCTTAAGCTGGGCCTCGGTTTCCTCCTCCATAAGATTGGAATGATTATATCTACATGTATTACTTCATCGGCTGCTAATAAAGAATTTTCAAATCTTAGTTTCTGTGTTTGCTACGTGGCCCATCTTCCTCATCTGTAAAATATGAGTAATAATACCTATCCCATAATGTTGGTGAGAGGATGAAATAAGGTAGTCCACATAAAGGTGGTTAGTATTGTGCCTGGTATATAAAAATGCTCACTATAATCATGCAAAATGCTGACAGGTGACAGGCTCTGTATATCAGTCTTGTTCCCTTCATCTAAGAGGCCATTCTGGACACATTTTACAGGCTGTCCCAAAGGTCTTAGTGTAGTTCAAAGCTCTAATAATGTCAAAATTATAAATAGTACAGACTTATAACCTATCATCTGAAAGTTTAATTATTTAAATTTTATTTACACTCATTTCGTTCTGTAAATTTTTTAAAAATACATTTTTAATTTTTTGTTTTAGTTAACATTTGCCATCTTTAATCAGAGGAAGATTTGTTTTCCGGAATATTTTATACAGGCAGCAAAAGCAATCCAAGCAAATGTCCAACATCACAAATACATGCAGCTAATTTCTGTCCCATGAGTCTAAGATAAAGGACTCCTGATTTCTGCCTTGGCCAAAGATTTGAGGTTGTCATTAGCAACAGCCAGGAGGCAGACACTCTCCCCTCACATAACTGGTCTAGGCCTACTAGCTCATAAAAGCAAAAGGATGAGATTACCCAGCAGAGAAATTCACAACCAATGACAACTCTTTAACTAATCGAAGCCTCCACTAAAAAATAAAGGTATAAGTTAATTATGACCATTTAAATATTGGCCTGATCTTTGATCTAATCTATGGGCAGGTCCAATTACAGACACACTGGAGTTGGACTCTTAATTAGTCTTAAAGCCTCGATTATTTCAGTGCTCAAACTACTGGTGAATCTTCACATCCCAAGGGAACCACACATTTGAAAGGCTATTTCAATGTGGGCTAACCTTTGGTGACTTTGAGAAGTATTTGAGATGTAAGGCAAGAGGGAAAAAGCAAAGCCCTCAAGAATGCCTCTTTCTCATTATCTCCAAGATCAAAGCTAATAAAAATTAATTTACCACAAGTTAATTTCTTACAGAATTTAAATAGTCTTTTTTTTAACCTGGAAAATGCTACAGTAAAGGGCTATTGAATATCTTCATGAGGCTATAATATCCAGGACTTACTGTTTTGGCTTCTTATATTTTGCACCATTACCAAGAATGAGTCTTTATTTCCATTTGCCAAATCAGACATTGGTTCCCAGGGTAATCTGATGACAGTAACTTATTAAACTACCAAATTTTTTGTCTAGTGGTGTGCTATTAAATATCTAACAACTGGCTTTCTGAAGGGGGAAATTAAGAGCCTTTATAGCATTTGCCAGTTTCCATGGTTAAATCCTCTCTCCATGGCCAACTTCAGACTACACACATGACATCACTAAATACTGAGCTGGTATAGTGCAATGATTTGAAATTAATGAGTTTTTATTACCTTTTTATATAATGTGTTTAATTGTAAGTTTATAAAATTTAATCTTTAAGAGCTATATTTAACAACAATCTTATAAAATTCCTAAAAATATGATCAGTTTTCACAAGTCAGGAGGAGCTACCTCTAAGAGAAGCTGGCTGCAGCACACCACCAACTCATAGCCTTATGGAGATAGCAATACGAAACACAGAAAAGACCAGAACCTGCCCATAAAGGTAGTTAGAAGTCACTCAAGGCCATTGGGTCTTGCAGAACACATAGATATGGCCTGGGGGGTGAGAGGTGAGGAAGAAAGTTGAGTCCAGAATGGGGAAGGCAATCCTCTGAGCTCATGCTGTCTATGTATTGCCTCCTGGTAGTTGCCCCTCCAGAGGACTTGCGAGTGGCTGGTATCAGCGACAGGTCCATTGAGCTGGAATGGGACGGGCCGATGGCAGTGACGGAATATGTGATCTCTTACCAGCCGACGGCCCTGGGGGGCCTCCAGCTCCAGCAGAGGGTGCCTGGAGATTGGAGTGGTGTCACCATTACGGAGCTGGAGCCAGGTCTCACCTACAACATCAGCGTCTACGCTGTCATTAGCAACATCCTCAGCCTTCCCATCACTGCCAAGGTGGCCACCCGTACGTACCATTCCCCCATCCTATTTCATTTTTCTTTCCTCCTACATGAGATCATGGGCATTCATGATAGTGGTGCCTTTTCTTAATTCTTTGGGGATGCCTGCAATAGTCATTGATCTTAAGGGAAAGGCTTTCAGACGTGCCCCACTTAAGAAGGGTACATCATTCAAAAGGCACTTCCAATTCAGGAAGTTTCTATAAATTATAGAACCGAATAACAAAAAGTACTTTAATTATTGAGTGCTGATTTGTTATGGGCTAACTGATTAGAAGTACAGTATGAGACTTTGGATCTAGTCAGGGATTGAAAACCAGGAGATATGAAATAGGATGTCTAAAAAGCAAGGAACAATTGGCATGTTAGAGATGGGAAATAAAAAGCAAAGTGGAAGAAAAATCTTATTTAAAACCACAGCTAACAACATCGACTTCCAATAGAAAAATAACACATTTCTTCTTGGTCTTTTGTTTAGCAAAATATCTTAATAGTCCATTTTAGCTCTAAATGTTAAGGCTCTTATGCATAGCCTACATTCAGTGAGAAGAGAGAGAGAATGAAAGAGAGATAGCAGATTAAACTGCTGTCCATAAGAAGTGGACAGTTTTTCTATTTTACTTGTAACAGGAGGAAACACCTATAGATGTGTATCTACATGTTATATATGTTTACTTAAGCATAGAAAAAAATATAGGATTACATATCAATTATTAACATTACATCAGAGTGGAATAAGAAAATAAGAGAGCATCCTTTTTTTCTTTATTTACCTCTGAATTTTAAAATGATTAGAGGTGAGCCTATATTATTATGTAACGGAATTTTCAAAAAAAAAAAAAACAAAGAAACAAAAAACATGCAGAGGTATTTAGGTGAGAGAAATTTCTGGGAGTTTGGGTGCGATACTACGCCTTCATCACCCCAAGTCTACTACAAAACCTGCATGCACCCAAATGCCTGTGTGCATTTGGTAAGACTGTGTAAGAAGTCTTTGGGAAAATCAAAAAAGGAGGTTGTATCTCATTAAATTCTGGAAGGAGAAAAGAGACCTTTCAAAGAAGAAGCGATATGAGTATTACAGAGTTTTCAGCAGTAACAAGAAAGAGGAACAAGAAGTGACCATGAAAACATAAACCTCTTAGAATTTTGGAAACTCCTTGGTCAGTAAGTGGAACTTATCACCAGATAAGGGTAAGACTGGACCCCATTTTATGTAGATCTCAGATGACAAGATGGCACTTAGATAAGAAATGTCATGAAAGTTCAGAAATGCAAAAAGTTGGGCTGGCCCAGCAGTGCAGTGCTTAGGAGTCACAGTGGGATCTGGATCCCGGATGGCTAACCTCTGTTTAAACTTGGCCCTGGTGACTTGAAAAAGATGCTGGGCACGTGTTGGAGCCCCAAACCTGACAGAATGGAGAAATGGAGAAAAAGGATTGCAGCATTATCACATCCCGTTGAGGGTTTTCTCTCTCTCTCTCTCCCATTCCCCCTTCATGAGCACATTCACTCTATGATAATATAATTAATTAATTAATTTAATTAAGGGAGAAAAGAAAAACAGAAAAGGAGAAAGTCAAGGTAAGAAGATTGGCCTTACAAGCTTCATGAACACCTAAGGACATAAATGGAGCTTACAAGGAGGCAAGTAGAGGAACAGGCAGAGGGGAAAGAAGTTAAGATGTCATCTTGTCCCCTTGCTTTTCAGATGACATAGATCCTGTGATAACATTGGATTCCCCCTAAGAATGCCAACTCTGTTAATATGCCTACCTGTTTCTATTTGACTTTATTATTATTATTATTATTCCTTCGGTGCCTGAAAACTAGCTTTAAATATCTGCAGTGATTTTGTAGAGAGGCAGGTCACCATCTGCTGCTTCTCCTGCCTTGCTCCGGAATGAGTCACCTGAGTTCCTGGCCCGACTCCCAAGCATCTCCTCTCTGATCCACATACTCATGTGGTGATGATGAGGTTTCCATCTCCTGTGGTGTTTATTATGCCAATTCAGGGCATCCCCTCAGGCAAGCTCCCAGGTGACAAGGACAAAATCATGTAAACTCACCTGACATCCCTTCAAGTGGGTTCAGAATCAGCCATGCCTTTCAACTAAGAATCGTTAGAAAGCTTCCAAATGGGAAAATGAGCATCTGTCAGTTTTCCAATGGGAATATCCCATGAAAGACAAGCTAAAATGGGAGCAGGCTCCCTGGAGAACTGAGAAAAGTCATGCTGTCATATCTCAGGGCTGGTAACTGGAACTCCATCAGGACAAGCATACCTCCACCTCACCAAACCTGTGCATGTGTCTGTGTGTGTGTGTGTGTGTGTGGTTGGCAGAAAGGGGCTGGGGAGAGAAAGAGGGAGACTGAAAGAGGAAAAGAAAAATTAAGATAAGTGAGGCAAAGGTGAGTAAAGAAGAGAGAAAAATCATGAAGGAGCCACTAGTATAAAGAAAAAGTACAACAGGGGCAAAAAATCTTATTACCTGCTTCTGTCTTTTGGATATGCTTTTGTTTTGCTTCTGTACATGAAATGGAAAATTCAGACCATCCTAGACTTAGTTATTTGAGCAAAACAAAATTCTCTCAAGTACATCAGAGGGTCAAGAAAAGCATCCTAATCTTTATTCTAAAGTTGGCTTGCTCTACAGCTTTAGCCAACTTTCTCTGTGCTCTCTTTTCCTGTGCACAAAATGGGAACACTGATATTAGCCATTACACTGCCTCCCAGGGATCCTGGAGAGCTTTCAAAGATAGTGTTCAAGTTTTCTGAAAAGAGCAGGGATTTAAAAGCCAAGATTTACCACATTAGAAAGGAAAGTATGACTTTCATATTTTAATACTAGCCTACAATCTGATAGAAAGCATAGAAAAATACTTTATCAGATTGTGTTTGTTAAGTTTATGCATGTGTTCCACCAACGCAGAGCACCAGGGCTACAGTGACGTGGGCCAACCCACACCTGGGACTCACCACGTTTGTAGCCAGATTGGGGTTGCCCACCACACATCAGCATACCTCTGATTTGGAGAGAACTCACCAAGACAAAGTACCAGGCAATGCGTTCTGTCCCTGCCAGGGATCACCATGACATTGTCACCTACATTATTGTGTTCCAGATCTGTCCACTCCTCGAGGGCTGCGATTCAAGACAATCACAGAGACTACCGTGGAGGTTCAATGGGAGCCCTTCTCATTCTCCTTTGATGGGTGGGAGATCAGCTTCATACCTAAGGTAACACTCACCTGTCAGGCTGCTAAACAGCCTGATTTGGAATATTTGTACATTCAACTGAGAATCAGGCAGCAAGGAAGGCACTACCTAACATTTCTGTCCATGTTACTAAGGATGCAAAAGGGCATTGTGTGCACCTGTACCATAGACTATTTCTTTCTCAAAGGTGTGAGCACCCTGGCCTTAGATAACAGGAGGATGGGGAAGCAGCCATCAGTTCCAGTTCTCAGCTGAGGAAGCTCTTGGGTTTAATGGACCATGATTTAGTGACTATGAACTCCCAAAAAGTTGGGGCTCTCTATAGGACCTTAAAAAAGCCAAACTGAATTAGCTGCATACTCAGCCCACAGTTTCATTCTGTGCAGACAGATGACCCAAAATTCAGCTTCAGGGTTTCAATCTCTAAGGTTAGAGACACAATACAAATCACCTTGGCTTTCCTGAATTTTTCATAATGAACTCGCAACCTATTAATTAACTGACATTTCCTTAAATAAATTGCATTATTAATCTATGGGTTTAAAAGTATCCTAAGATTTCCTCCTCTCTTTAAAGCAGTGTTCTGTTTTATTAATCTTAAAACCATTGGGTTGTTGGGAAAGTCATGACACATTTTTGCATAGAAAAACATAGAAAAATAGGTCATGACTTTCCTGATGACCTAATAACTTTTCCCAATTGCTAGAGACACCTATTTAGTTACAGTTTTCCAGAATTTGCACGCCCTACCTGTGTGCTCCAAAGCTATAGCACTCATGAGGATGTGAGTTGCAATCATACTATTTTCCTCTGTCTTTCTTTTTCAACATCAAAGATGGTTTTTTCAGTCATTTATCAGACTTAATGATAAATGACATATTTTTGGTTAATAAGACTATGATTTCACCATTCTTTTACTTCAAAATTCTTAGAGCCATGGATTGCTGACTCTTTGAGTTCAGAGCATGACTCCCTGTTTTACACCTAGCTTACTTTATAGAGACTAAGACTCAGAAAACTTAAATGACATCATGCAGCCAGTTGGTGATAGGCTGAAGTTGAGAACCTGGGTCTGCAGCTTCTATTCTAGGGCTCTCTCTACTAAACCTAGATGCTTCATGTTCTTTTATGGACATAGTCATATAATGGCAAGTTTAATTCATCTAAGCAGACATTCTATACAGATGTTTTATTATATGTCTTGTATTAGTTAAAATGGCCAATAAAGAATGGCAGGCAACAGGACTTATAACAGGACAGAAACAAATCATGTCACCCTGCAGCTTGGGAAGACAAAAAATTATGCCAAGTTCTCCTATTTTACATCCAATGCATAAAATTCTAGAGAGGTCTTCAAAAGTTAACTAAAATACATATTATGAAATACCTATGCATGGATTTTTTTTTAAATTTGCACCAAAATAAACTTTCACTTTAATTCTGTTTTTCCACAAACATTTTGACATCCCCTCTCAAGAGAGGGGCTGGCCAGGGCATGCCAAGGCCAAATACAGGGCTACATGGAAAGCAGTTGTGACTTGTAGATTGAGCCACTAGAGGGCATTTATCATACTGATTTATAAGAGTATGTTTATAAATTACATAGAGGACACTCTGGTGACAGAGACCAAAGAATTGAGGAGAAGGGCAGTGTCACAAAAAGGACCCTTTGTCTCTTCCATTTCCAAGGACACCCATTCAAAAAATGTAAGATAAGTAAATAGTGGAAGAAAGAAAGGAAGGAAACCATAAATCCAACATTACCAAATTGCTCTTTCTCATTTCCTCTTCTGCTCATTTTTCTCTTTTCTCTCTGCTTTATATTATCCTTTGTTCCATGTTTCCATTTTCTTTTCTTTGTACATCATAGTCAGTTGTGTCACTGAGTCCTAAGTCATCTGGGTGAAGCGGAAACAAGACATTGATAGATTTGCACCCAGTGTAACACCATGAGAAACTCCAGATATAGCAAAACAGCTCCAGCTTATAAAAAACAAAATCTGAGAATGTCTTAGTTTGAAATGTGTTGTGTGTGTCTAAGAAGATGTTTACACACATGCACACACAACTACACTCTTCTAAATAGCCCAGAGCATGATCTTCATGATAAATGCCAAAAAAATCTGATGGATGTTAACCATAATCATCAAGTATTTCATCTTTGGCAAGAGCCAATCTGTATCACCTTGTGACTAGTTTTTATTGGCAAACTCAACAAACTCAGAAGAGGCCAAAGAAATGTTCTTTAAAATTGGTTTTTCATTTGCCAAATCCACATAGAGCAGTGGCATTCTTACTGAGCCTGCTGGGAGTTGTTCTGGCCCCAGACACTTGGCTATCAGCATGAAGGGAAGAGATGTAGCCCCTATTTTTAACTCCCAATTCACACTCGATGTTCCACATATTTATCTTTCTCTCATTAGGTATCTCTCCCAATGATTTTTCTCTTGCTTTCTTTGCTTCTCCCTACCCTCCAGAACAATGAAGGAGGAGTGATCGCTCAGGTACCCAGTGATGTTACCTCCTTTAACCAGACAGGACTAAAGCCTGGCGAGGAATACATTGTTAACGTGGTGGCTCTGAAAGAACAAGCTCGGAGTCCCCCTACCTCAGCCAGCGTTTCCACTGGTGAGTACTTCCAGTACTTCTCCCTTTAGCTACCCAGTAGATCACTTGGGACAAAGAAACACAGAATTGCCCAACAAGTGGAGAGACAAAAGAAATACCAGGATTCATTCCTGAGCTGAAAAGATTTTGGTACCTGGAGATGGAGCTACTCTAAAAGATGTTTAGGTGATCATCTTTCTCCTTCTTCATCCTTGCAAACAGAAGTCTGGGAGAGTGTTCTATGGAGAAAAAATTTTTGCTAAGATTTTCAGTGTATTGTTTCTGATCTTACTCATTAAGAAGGCTCATCAACGCCCTAGTGTCATAAGCTTTGGAAGCTGCAAGAGCTGACTCATTCTTACCTGTTGTGAGATTTAGAGACAGTAGCTAAATCTTCCCAACCTTCAATTCATTTAACAATGATGAGTAGTAATAGCCTCCTTCATTGAATTAATATGGGGACTGAATTAGATACAGCACACAAAGTGATTAGCACTATGTTGACGAGGGTGAGTGCTCAATACCTGCCATGTACACATTTATCCAGAGAACATGCTTAGAACTGAAAGCAGTAGGGAAAAACAAAAATCATTTGAAATCAGAAAGTAAGGGTAGGGTTCAAAGTGGTAACTAAATTTGATTATTATTTTATCCCCACAGTTTATCTCATTTAAGATTATCATATTTTCAGGATCAGTTCATTAATGATATTATATTTTGCCTTATTGTTTCCTTAGCTCCCCAAGGATGGTCATTTTCAATGCTGTACATTAGCAGCTGTGATGTGTATATGTGCCCCTACTAAGAATTTCTCAAAAGTTATAAATAGCATGTGGTATTATTTTTGGTTCTCATTTTATTGATAGGAGAGAGCTGAGACAACAGAGGTCAGGCAACTTTTCCTGTTAGAAATAGAAACTGAGATAGGCAAATATTAGTACAGCTTTATTTTTCATAAACAGAAATTGACACCTCAGAAAGCCAGTCTTAGGTCCAGGACACAAGGCCAAGTTGGCCAGAAAAGAGAACCATAACAATATGTAATGAGACTATGTTTATGGATTAGTGATTCATGCTTTGCTACTTGGATCCAAACTAAACAGCATCAGGTGTTGCAGCTTATGCCCAGTCTAGAAAACATTGCTCTGAAGCTATTGTGACATTCGTTATGTTCCATTTGAGCAATGGGGTTCCATGGCAGTGACGAGGGTAGGATTATGTGGAGATTCAGGCCTCTAATTGCTCCTTCTCCCCTTTCTCCCACCAGGGTGGCTCCATTTTGATCTGTTTTCTATTTTGCCCAACGATTTAAGATTTCATTCTTAAAACAGATAGACAAAAAAAGTTTTATCCCCCCAAAAGGCTTTAAAACCACTGTTCTGGTCTATGCCTTAAAAGAAACCCGTTAGCCTTAAAACCTAAAGTACTCTTTAGGAATCTCTAGAATGCTAAGGGCTGTAGTTTTTCCACAGTTCTATTCTCCAAGGTTCTGCCAGAATCTGAAAAGTTGACACTTGATAACACGTTAGCTTCTCCTCTTCGGATATGGGATGTTTAGGTCCCCAAGTCACCCCAGTGATTTAAAACAAAAGGCTAAACGAGAAGATGGTTCATAAGAGGATAGAGAATGTTACAATTGAAGTTTGTTTTTCTTCCAAAGTATTGAGAGTACTTGGAGAAAGGAGTCCAAACCTGCCTTAGTCTTTACTCAAACCATATTTTTACAAAATGTGCAGTATTTTTTGGTTTGGAAGTTTCTTAAGATTAAAATTAATATTTCCAGATCTAGAGATTCGTGGTAACACTAGGCAGATTTTTTTTCAATTAAGAAGAAAAAATGTCCTATTAAATATTTTGGCATCATCTACAGAATCTTGGGGGGGAGTGGAAAAAAAATTATCCCCCCATTTAGTTTTTTTTTTTTTTTCTCCTTTTTTTGGAGAGGTTTTTGCTATAGGGCGCGTGCACTTGCCAGACAGACAGAGAGACAGAAAGCGAGAAATCACCTCCCAGGGGGGATGGCCATGCCACAATCCCTTCTCCTCCATTCTCCTCTCGGGATCTTGGGCATGCACGCACACATGCCCAGCATGAGTTTAAGCCACCGGGTCCGAGACTCGAACCGCGGTCGACTACGTGGGAGTCCAGCAACATAGCCATTACACTAACTGCTGGTCCCCCCCCCCATTTAGTTTTTGAGTAAGATTTGTATTTGTTTAGAAACAAGGTCCTCAGTTAAAAGCAAGCTGACACCTCGATTGGAATGGTATATTACTACCTATGACCAACAAAAGAGCAAAAACCAAGGTGGCTGCAGAAATGGCTTGCTCCCAAAATGGTCTGCTGTTTTTAGGAAAGGATTGTTTAATTATTTCCTTCTGCTAAGGTCTGACCTACACCAACCCCCTCCTGTGAAACTCTGCTACTTCATCAGGCAGACTGGCTTCTTCCAAGCAGGCTCCTTTGTGAATGCAAATTATGAGACCTCCTGCAGCTAGAGCCCTCTGTGATACATAATCACATTCTAATCTGGTCAATCCATTACGATTAGGGATTTGGGGATCTAAAGAGTTGAAGAACAAAAGCCTTATGTTATCTGTGTTGACACATTTGTTTGTTTCTCAGGAAGCTTCAGTTCACTAAAACCTTTCCCTTCACTTGCATGAATAAAGAGGATCATCCATTCATTTAATTTACCCAACACTCATTCACTCAATGTCTACTATGTTTTAGGCATTATGCTTATACAGCAGCTAGGAGGCCATTTCCCTCACCTCATAATTAAATTAAATGAAATAGAAAAGGCCCAAGTTATGTAAAACTACCAAGTGCAACATGCTGAAAAGAAACCGTCTGGATATGTTCTGTTAAATCACATTACTATCTCAAATATGGTAAACAGGACGTCATTCCAACTCCAAACCAGGTGGCATCCAAATGGTCTGGTGGTTTTCAAGTGGTCTGGTGCTGGACCAAAAATCCTAAACTGCATGTAATAGAGAATAGGACTGCACTAGGCCTGGCAAGAGAGAGAGGTATCTAAGGAAAAACCTAACTCTGAAAAATTGAGAGGTTCAAGGTCAGCCCGAGACAGTCCTGAGGGAGAAACTCCATTCTGGAGATAGCAAGAGGTGGTCCAGTGTGGACTGGTTAAGAAACAAGCCATAGTCAAGACTCCTGGGTAACAAGGAAGAAAAACTTAAACTGGCTAGAACAAAAGAAGAGTTTGCTGAATGGATATACATAGTGTCTCATGGCGACCCAATGCCAGGAATGCATCTGGACCTCACAAAAGACTTGAACCAAAAAACAGAACATCAGGAATTGAGTTACTCCATCTATATAGAAGCTTCATATTCATTTCTACTCCTCTGTGCACATTTTTCCTTCCTTTCCCTCTATCCTCCTCCCCTCTCTTCCTCTTCTCTTTCTTTCCCTTTCTTTCTTGCTCCTTCTCCCTTTCTTTCTATCCCTTTCTCTCTCCAGATCAGATGATTCCTATTCTGTATGAATATAGTAGACAACGGCCACACCAGCCCTGATTCTACATGGCCCAACCACCATCTCTAGTTCCATGTCCAATCCTTAAAGAATATTAATATTAACCAGCTCCAACCAGATGGGTGTAGTTATATATACAATAAGTGCAAACATGGAGGTTAGGCCTATTCTGGGAGCAGATAATGAGTAATTCTCAAAGATATGGACCTAGCAGATATCCCATGAGGCACTGGTACTGCCACTTTCAGTTCTTACTAAGTTCTTTCTTTTTCTATTCTCCCATATCCCCACTCCTTCATCTAATTTGGTATGAATAAAAGTCAAGTGGGTGCTGGACCCATGGATGGTGGCTCTATAGAACACTTAGTAGCTTTCCTAAGGTAATGTCATTCCAAAATGATGTTCCCCTCAGCCACACAATGCCATAGGTCAGGGTTTATGAGCGACACCTGCTGGAGCACCTTGGGGGTCTCTGTGATTGCAGTACCCTCCTGGCTCAGGAATATGTAAGAACATGTGGGGAAAAATACTCAAAAGAGGTGGTTCCAAAGCTGGGTTCCTTTTCACTCAGAGGAGCAAGTGTCTCCAGAAGGTATGTTTTGCATTCATAAATGCTAACGTCTGTTGGGTTTTGTTATGGCCTTAGGTCTTAGCAGCTGGGTGGACTAGGCTGAGTATTGAGTGTGGCAGAATAGGGAGTATCTTTTGGATACTCATGATGACCTCTTTGGCAACCAAGTTAGAAGTCTTTGGGGCTTATATGGGGCTAGTCACTTAAGAGGTCTTCCCTGAGGACATAAAGAAAGGGTTAAGTGGACGACAGAGCATACTCCAGAAGCTCAGTTCTTTGTCCTCAGACAAAAGCAGGCCAACTCTCTCAGGTCAGGAAGTGCCCCTCTCCTGCCATATAGACTGGTGAAGGGAGAATTAGGCCAAAATTTAGGGGAACAGAATACTAGGGTCAATTCTCTTGTCAAACTATGTGTCATCAGGAAGGCTATTTCATCTTACTGTGCCTCATTTTCCCCATCTGTAAAATCACATAATAATACAAATCCTCTCTCTGACTAACAAGACTAATGTACAGAGGAAGGGAGAAAAGTGATGTGCAGACTTAGATGCCAATCAAACTTTTTGTTCTATTTTATCTTTCTCATTCAGTCATTGACGGGCCCACGCAGATCCTGGTTCGAGATGTCTCCGACACCGTGGCCTTTGTGGAGTGGAGCCCACCTCGGGCCAAAGTTGATTTCATTCTCCTGAAATATGGCTTAGTGGGTGGGGAAGGTGGGAAGACAACCTTCCGCCTGCAGCCTCCCCTGAGCCAATACTCCGTGCAGGCCCTGAGGCCTGGCTCCCGCTACGAGGTGTCGGTCAGTGCAGTGCGAGGGACCAATGAGAGTGATTCCACCACCACTCAGTTTACAACAGGTAAGGCTGTGGTGGGGCAGAGGACATGAAACAGAAGAGAGAGGCTAGCCAGTTGCTGATTCTGGCAAAGCAAGAGAAGAATGAAAAGACTGAGATGGTGTGTTTTTGGACATCCATATTATTACAGACACTGCAAGAAAGAAGGGAGAGGCTTTGGGCACAGGGGAAAAAAAAAAGAGTGCAAATATAACAAGGAGAAGTAAGTTCTCTTCCTACCGCTGCTTCCAGACAGACCTGTGACTACATATAAGTCCTTTTCCTGTGGGTCTTGGGTTTCTCATTTATAACATGACAAGTTTGATGTAAAGACATTTAAGCATCCATATTGCTAGCCCCATGGGCTAGCCAGTTGCTGATTCTGGCAAAGCAAGAGAAGAATGAAAAGACTGAGATGGTGTGTTTTTGGACATCCATATTATTACAGACACTGCAAGAAAGAAGGGAGAGGCTTTGGGCACAGGGGAAAAAAAAAAAGAGTGCAAATATAACAAGGAGAAGTAAGTTCTCTTCCTACCGCTGCTTCCAGACAGACCTGTGACTACATATAAGTCCTTTTCCTGTGGGTCTTGGGTTTCTCATTTATAACATGACAAGTTTGATGTAAAGACATTTAAGCATCCATATTGCTAGCCCCATGGCAATTTTGTGAGAGTTCAGGAAAGGTGCCCCTTCCTCGAGACATTTCATTGCCATTTCCTGGAAATGGCTGTAATAATTCTATAAATATACGACTACACTACCATGATGGCACTGCTTGGTTTTGTGCAAAGTCCAATCTGTACAACCTTTAGCAGACCTTCCAACTAACATCCTGTGACTCATCCTGGCATTTGCTAGTACTAGCAATAAGGCTATTATGTGGCTGATCCCGTAGATGGGAGGCTGAACAAAGCCCATTAATGTTGCTGCCTTGCTAGGCTAACTGCAACCCCCCTTCCCAAGGTGACCTGGACCCTTACAGAGCTTCACCAACAGTTTAGAAAGGCTAAAACTTAGGGTAACATGTTCCCTGGCTCTCTCAATGCTCATCAATTTGGCTTGCTAGTGGGCAGGTAAGACAGTCACCATCCCAAGGACTGGCTACCTGGAACCCTCACTAGATTAGTAATGGCCTGTGATCACATTAATGATTGAGTTTCTATCTAATACAGATTCTTGGTCTTAGCCACTTTGCCTTAGGGAGGTCACATGTCAACAAATGACTCTACCAATTCTAAGTTGTCCCAGGAATCAAAGGAAATGTACTATCTATAAGATCTAAGCACCAGTGTGCGCTCACCAGACAAAGAGAGGGAGACAGAGAGACAGAAAGTGAGAAATCACCCCCCAGGGGGGATGGCCACGCCGCAATCCCTTCTCCTTGGGATCAGCAGTTAGCGTAATGGCTATGTCGCTGGAGTTCCTAGAGGAACCACTAATCAGTCATCCTCCCTGGGTTATGGCATAAGAGCTTATTACAGTATAGAGTACATCAGGGGGCTTTACAAAAGCTCAATAAATAGCACCTCTCCACTCCATATGTGTTTAAAATGAGCTGATGAATAAGACAAAGAGTATGACAATGGATGCCAAAATGTCCCTTAGAATGGAGCATGTAGTTGCTGTTACAGCCAGGTGGGCTTGCAAATGGCATGGCCACTGTGGGCCTGGGCAAGCCTCTCCATGTGGCAGGCATTTGGCACTTCTCTTAAGACATGCAGCATGAGGTCCAGGCAGGGGCTGAGCCCAGATGAAAGGGAGTGGAAGGGCAGCACCTGTGCCCTGCTGCAAAAGTGCCCATTTACTTAAGTCCATCTTCCTCAGTGAAAGAGAGAGGCTAGGAATCTCAGAATGGGGCTCTCTCCACCCCAAAGGAGACATCAGGAGAGGGGAGACTTCCCAATTAAAATGGAGCAGGTATACACACTGAGGGACCGGGAGGGCATGTGTGATTCTGAAAGAGATTCCAAAGGTTTTTCTTTGGCCCTTTTCTCCACTCTCTACCCCAACCCAGAGGATGGACAATGGGATTTCTACTGAACATATCTTGGAACCCTCAGTGACTAAATGTTCTGGGGGAAAAAGGAACAAAATTCTGTCCACTGTCTTCCCACCCTCTCTCTGCCTTAACCAAAAATGTTCAGGGCAAATCCCAAGGCAGGAAGGACATCCAAATGACCCTTCTTGGTTAACTCAAGATCAGCCTTTTGTCCCACCCCAGAATACCCCTTGCTAGGGTGGCAGTATCTCCTGTGGGCTGTCAGTCCTGCATTCCTTTCTTCATTTTAAGATAGTTTTGTTTGAAAAGTGATTTCTTTGTGCTCTGTTCTGATAAGGAGTTTGAAGAGGCAAAAAAGGAGAGGAGAGCTTTCCAGAAGCACGATGAAAAGGAAATTCTTAATGCTCAGGTCCACAAGATGGAAGCAAAATTGGCTGGTGGCCCAGGAAAATTCCAATCAAGACAATTACTCCTACCTCCTAGCTCCCCCTGAGTTTCAGTTCATTGCTGTGTGATTTTCTGTTTCTGCCTGCCTGACAGATTGGCAGTTGTTAGGTGGCTGCCTTCTCTATGCAGCCTCAGTCTGCACCTCAAACATGTTGCCCACTGCTCACAAAGGGCGAAAGAAGTGAGGTGGCCAAACAGCTTTGCAGACACTCTCAAGATTCAGGTTGGCAGGTGCTGGTTGAATGATGAGAGGGTACCCAGATCCTCGCCATAGGGTCCTCAGTCATTTCAGAACACTGCTTAAATTCAAATTAGCCAAAGTGCTTTTCCAGGTGATAGCTTCAGCACGGGGAGTGCACTAATCGCACAGGCAATTTAAACTGAGATTTGCTTTCTGCTTGGTGAATGCGAGAATTGCCTGGGTCTGAGAGCAGCTCTGTAAAAGTGAAGAGCCCAATGGAAGCCCACTGAGGCCACCAGCCCATGGAAATCTGGAGGCCAATTGCAAACTCTCCCTTGTCTTTAGCAACTCTGGTTTCCAGGTGGGGAAACTCCTGGGACTGTTTCTGTCCACTGCAGCCTTGTCTTGAGCATATCCCTCAAAGGCCCAAATGCAGCCACTAGTATATTTGGCCAGCCAGAGGTTGCTACTTTGACCTGAATGACCCAGACCTCTCTTCAATGTTGCTATGGGTCTAATTGGGTTGCCTCAAAAGGTGTTGAAGTCCTAACCCCCAGTACCTATGAGTACGACCTTTTTTACAGATGACCAAGTAAAGATGAAGTCAATTCTAAATTTTTTATTAATATTATTATTGTTGTTGTTGTTATATACATTTGATCACTATACATCATTTAGCTTGTAGAGAGAATTTACCCAACATGAAATACACCTCAGACCAGTGCAGTTGATAATACTATACACATTATCATCAATAGATAATAAACCATTTCTGTGTCCCACAGATGTCTTACTTTTCTATTTTTCTCCCTAATTTCCTTCCCTACACTCTTCCCCTCTCCCAGCCTCGTTCTACACTGTCTCCAGTGTACATAACTATTTTCAGTGCTTTTATGCCCTCCAGGCTTTCAGTCTCTACCATAGAGTGCAGACAGTCAGTATGTGGTAAGTAGAGATATGTAATATCTCTTCTTCATAGCCTCACTTCTTTCACTCAACAATACATCTTCCATAAGGACGAGGTCATTAAGGTAGGCTCTAAATCAGTAGAACTATGTCCTTATAAAAAGGAAAATTTGAACATGGAGACAGACACACTTAGGGGCAGGATGCTTTGTGGCAATGAAGGTAGAAATCAAGGTCATTCTTCTATAAGCCAAGGAACACCAAAGATCACTAGCAAACCCTAAGAAACTGGGAAAGAGGCCTAAAACAGATTCTCCCTCATAGCTCTCAGAAGAAAGCAATATTGCCCACATCTTCATCTAAGACTTCTGATCTATGGGACAATAAATTTCCATTAAGACATTTCTATTGTTCACAGTACTTTGTTAGGGCAGCCTAGGAAATTAATACCAATGCCCAAGTCATAATAGTTCAAGCTCTTCCCTACTTGGCAGTGATTCCACTCTGGAATTCTGCAGGGCCTTTTCTCCCAAGTTCTACCTTGATAGCACTTGTCACCTCAGCCAAGCCACCCCAGGCCAAGGTATTCTTTGCCTGCACTGCCTCTCCCCAAGTATCCTCAAGGGCCCAAGGTTGAAACAAGGCTTTTCTAAAAGCTTTGAGGTAGCAAACAAAATAGTGAATTGTCAATATGCATCAACCATTCAATGTGTCCTTATTGAACACTTACAAAGTGCCAAGCATGTTCTAGGCTCTAAGCAACAGAATAAACAAGACAGACATGACCTCCGTTGACATAAATTATACTCTGGTAGAACAAACTGGACAATGAAGAAGAAAAGAAAATACAAGATAATGTCAATCATGAGTGTTGTGTTAAGATGTGTCATGGATGATATAGAAGGAGAGATACATTGGATAGTGTAGTTTGCAAAGGTTTCTCTGAGGGGGTGACATTTGAACTGAGACCTAAGCTATGTGAGGATCAGAAGATGAGGCTTCTAGGCAAAGGTAGCAACCAGTGCAAAGGCCTTGGGTTATGAATGCGCTTGATGTGTTTTATGAACCTACAAAGAAGGAAGAGGTATAATAAGTGAAATAAAAGTTGTTCATTTGAGCCAGGGCTGAGGACAAATTCACCCAGATAAACAGACTCTGGTTTTCCAGACATATGTTCATCATCGAAATGGTGACCCAGAAAGCTGGTTTATATAATAAAGATAAGGGCAAGAGGGGGAGAGATTACAAATTGTTTATCAAGAGTTTATGCTGATCTGTTTAAAATAACACAGTCAACTGATTGACTATACATTACTTTCTACATTATGAACCCAAAAATGCTGGGATGAAGAAAGTTTAGGGGTCACTTTGTAAAGTCTATAATCCTTTGTGGTCACAGTGCTGTTAATGTAAACTGAAACATGTCTTCTGGACAATAACCTTGATGGGTGTGGGCTTAATCAAATATAAAATTTGTATGGACCTTGAATTCCTTGAATTCCACAGACTGCTCTGACCAGTGTTACTTTCACAGTTTCAAGAGCAGGAAAAAGGCAATGCAGCTGGGGCACAGTGAATAAGAGTAGAAGTGTGACAAGGCAATGTCTGAGAGAGCTGGCAGCGCCATATTATGCAGAGCCCTGCAGGCTACAATTAGGAGTTCTAATAGGAAGCCACAGAAAAGTTGCCTGTTAGTGGAGGAATCACTTGACCTAATTTATGTTTAAGGGACTAGATACTGGCAACGGAAATAACCAACTCTGTAGAAATAATCATTGATATGGTTTATGACTAAGCACAAAAGTGAATGACATATCTGGAGAAAGACAAGCATGCTGAGACATGGTGGTTTGGTTTCTACTTTTGAGAGCAGGATAGTGATCATCAACATAAGGAGTCCTCTACATTGGAGTCCTCTACATAAGGAGTCCTCTGCCCCAGCAAAGTGAGATATCTAGAAGTAGAAGCTTGTAGGTTGTAAGTGAGTTTGAAATTCTTGGTGCTTAGAAAAAAAGCTCCGTGTCTCAGGAAGAGATCAACAAAAGAATGACTGAGCTATACTTTAATAGATATAATAAGGCTTAACCCTATTAACATTTGTAGGTGTGACCCTTCTAGGCCCTCTGGAAAGGACTTTGGAAATATGAAAAAGTAATCAGAATTCCATCCTCAATGTGGCTATTACCAGAGTCCACAGTCCCGAGTCCCTTCACAGGGCCTAGCCTGCTGACTCAGCTCCCAACTGTAGGGCTGGCTTTTCATTGTTCCTCCTAGAGATCAGGCTTCAAGACCCAGGTGGACAAACAATTTCATCTCATTCTGGCTCCAAGATCCATCTTCTGAGCCCTTCTAGGAATGACCTCATTTTTAGGATCATTGATATTGTAAGTGTCTGGTCCCTTCAGAAAAAAATGAGAGGTAGAGGTCCTAGGACCAAAAAAACAAAAAATAAAAAAGTAAAAATCATGGTCAAACAGGGTCAGCTCCATTGTACAGTTGTAATGCACTGCTTAAGAGAAGCTGGATCCCACATGGCGACCATGTCTTGAGTCTCCAGCCTGGTCAGATTGAGTTACTCGAGGCATGCATGCGAGTGTTCACCATCTGACAGGCTGGAGGACTAGAGGAAGGGAATTGCAGATTGCAGTGTGACCAGACCCTGTGAAAGGTGTCCCTCTTTCTCTTTCTCTCTCTCTCTGGTGCATGCGCATGTTCTATCATGACTAAAGAAAAAAATCATAGTCTAACATTACCAGGATATGGATTTTTGATAGTTTAGAACTAGGTACAGGTCTCAGTCTTAACACTCACCCTCTCTTCGTTTTGATCAGCTCAGTTCATACCTCTATCCCCAAGCTCAATCCAGTCCTTGTACCCAGCCTCTTCTCATGCCTGAGATGTAGGGGCTGCGGTCCAGAGTCCCCCTCCACACATTTCTTGAGGCCCACCCTCTCAATCCTACTGCTGGAGTAAGAACACATAGAGCAGAGTCCCCCTCCACACATTTCTTGAGGCCCCCCCTCCCAATCCTACATCTGGAGTAAGAACACATAGAATATGTCAAGAATGTGGGGACTAGCAGGTGGCGTGGTGATTAAGGCGCTGGACACTCCCACATGGCCAACCATGATTTGAGTCCCAGACCTGGTGGCTTGCTTTCTCACTTTCTCTCTCCCTCTCTCGGTGTGTCTCTCTCTGGTCATATTAAAATAGATGAACGAATAAATAAAATTCAATTTTAAAAAAAGAGTTTTTAAAAAAGAATATGTCAAGAATGTGCTGTATCTAGTATGCTAAAGAACAATGAGTGAGGAAACATTTCTTGGGAAGAATAAGCTGCAGAGACATAAATCTGTTAAAGGATTCACCCAATTTACATCACTAAACAGAACACTTTTCACTCTGAAGCCTCTGCCTTCAGATTGATTCACACATTCCAGTCTTCCACAAGAACAATTGGTGGATACTCGCCTTGCATTTTCAAATAACAATCCACTGGAGGTTTTCTCAGAAGGAATAGCTAGTCTACTCTAAAGTTACATTCAAGTTTCAAAGATAAGAACTATCTGGAACTTTTCCAATAGCAGTTTTTCAGGGCAGCACCTCATAACACTGCAAGTTTTTTTATGTTTCGGTCTAAGGAAAGAGCTGCCTATGGAGATGGCCAGTCCTGGGAGAGACAAGAGGCTTTCCCAGGATTGTGGGAGAAACCTCGATGCTGGTGATCCTTTCCTTATATTGGAATCCTTGGAACTTCAGAGAACAAGCACCGAGGGTGCCATGTTCTTATGTTACTGAGGAGACTCAACCTGTGGGGATCTCTACCTGGGGTAATGTAAGAAAGAATTTAAGAGCAAGCTATTGAGGGAGAATGAAAACAGGTTTATTAAAGAAAGTGTACAGAGTAAACTACTCCATTAGGTAGAGCAGTCCCAGGAGAGATGGATGAACAGTTTTGTTCCTCTGAGAGAAAGGGGAAAACTGTCACCTAAAGAGAAGATAGAAGGGCTACTTTAGAGGCAGGGCAGGTGCCAAACTTTGGTGGGTATCTGGTTCACATGGCTTGACTTAATGCCAGACTAAGTAAGGCACAGTTTATTTATATATATATATATTTTTTTCCTGAACAAAGGCAATGATTTTTCTGGAACCACCCTCCTATTTTCTAGCCTTATTAGGGTAGTTCTGTTTGTTGTCATGGTTGTTCCTAACTGCACAGGTAGGAGTGTTATCTAGCATGTTAATACAATATTATAGGGATTTAATGAATTTGAAAGCTGGACAGTGGTTGTTTCAGGTAACAACTTGGTTCCACTGGTTCAGACCCAATCTCTCATCCACTTTTTGTTTGTCACATTTAGTGTGTTTGTAATGTTCTCACTGTAGGTCGAAACGTCCCTCCTATCTCTCCTATCTCAATTACAACTCAAAAAGTATTCTGGAGGCAATAGAACACCAGCTCAGGGCTGGAGTGCCTAATTTCACACCAAGCACCAACCACAGATAGTTACCTCCCCTCCCTGCATATCTGTGGGTTCTTCATTCAACCAATGCAACAAACCACAGATAGAAAATATTCAGATTAAAATAAAAAAACAATGACAATACAATAATAAACAATAATACAAGTAAAAACAATATGGTGTAATGACTACATAGCACTTACATTGTATTAGATACTTTACTAGTGCAAAAATGATTAAAAGTATATGGGAGGATGTGCATAGGGTATATTCAAAGATAAAAGCCATTTTAGAAGAGAAACTTGAGCATATGTGGATTTTGGTACTCATGGGGGAGAAGGTCCTGGAACCATTTTCCTGAGGCTGTATGCATGGACCACTATACCTCGTATGCATTGTCTAACCCGTACAGCAACCCAAAATGTGTATGTTATTTGCTCCTTTACAGAGGTGATCATTAAGGCCCAGTGAGGATCAAACTAAGGTCTGACACCAAAACTCATGTTTTTTCCAGTATATCACACATTCTCTTTTATCTTAATTTTAAGATATCTTAACTTGTTTATCTTAATTTTCCAACTTGCAAACTTTTCAGCAGTATCAATACAAATAAACCCAGGGGAAGGCATCTTAAACTTCAAAATTTTTAAATCAACTGCTGTCTTTTTGCTTAGTGGTCAAATTTGATATTGCTCTGTTCCCTCTTAACCTCTTGGGAGCTGTCTCTGATTTCTCCTACTGTGGTTTCCTTTGTTTTGTTTTTAGACTTATTATATTAATTGGTTCATTTTAAAGTTTCTAGAACACTATTGGAAGTCTTGAATGACAATGGAGGAAGTATAAAATGAGTTATTATCTAACCCCAAATGAAACTCACTAACCTACCCAAGGAATGAGTCACAGCCAGCCCGGCAGACCAAAAGCTAAGGGGAAGCCACTAGGTTTACTCAAATGTGAGGCAAAGGGTCAGGAAGTGGGGGCACTCACCTCAAAGTTTTTTCAAGTTCAAAATACACCACATGCATATATGGCCAAGATCCTGATAAGTTGGAGAACTAGGAGAAGAAATTACGGTATGATGAAATCCTATCAAGGGTGCCTCTCTCTTCAGCATGCACACATGTATACTCTCTCATGAATACAATAAACTTTTAAAAAATGCATCACAACATACATTATCATGTATAACGTTGGTGGTATCTGTGTGTTTATAGAGATTGATGCCCCTAAGAACTTGCGAGTTGGCTCACGAACAGCAACCAGCCTTGACCTCGAGTGGGACAACAGCGAGGCAGAGGCTCAGGAGTACAAGGTTGTTTACAGCACCCTGGCAGGCGAGCAGTACCACGAGGTGCTGGTCCCCAAGAGCTTTGGTCCAACTACCAGGGCCACCCTCACAGGTGAGTGAGACCCATCTCTTGGGACCATTTCAGCTGCTAAGTCTACACCCTCACTACTCCATCCCACCCATCCCACATCCAGCCCATTGCTAATCCTACTGATTATCTCTCTTGAGTACATATCAAGTCTGTCTCCTATTCTACATTGTACTGCCTTACCTGATCTAAACTACTATCATGGTTCATCTTAACCACCACAGTAAACTTCCCACATTCTCTCCTGCCCCATTGAATTCACTCTTCACACCATAGTGATCTTGTCAAAGTACATTTTTTATTATATCATCACATTGTGTGTACATTCCAGGGACTTCTCACTGCTCTTGAGATAAACCCCAAGTTGTGAACATGGTTGTCAGCTTGCTTGGTCTCCCTGTCTTATTCTCCAGTCCCAGGCCCATGGTCTGCCATGGGGCTTAGCACTTGCTGTTCTCCTACCTACAAGTCCTCGTTTCAGTTTCTCAGAGGGCCTGTCTGGTTCCCAGGCAAGGTCAAGTAGTTCTCTCCTACAACCTCATGTCACTAGTTACCACTCTTCTCTCAGACTGTCCATGTTGCCATTGTACACATGTGTGCATGATGATTTGATTGTTGGCCCCATGCTAGATCCAAAGTTCTATGGAAGTTGGACCATGTTTGCTTTTGCTTCTTACTAAATTCCCAGTACAGTATCTCTCATATACTATTAGGTTGTTGAGAAAGTCATGATGGATTTTTCTATGTTTTTCTATGCAAAAATGTGTCATGACTTCCCAGGTGGCCCAAAAGCTCCAAGATCACTATTTCTGGAAGGAAAAAAGAAAGGAAGAGAGAGAGAGATAAGGAAGGAACTGTACAAGTTCATTTTTACTGAGGTATAGACTGCAAGAGGCTAGTGATAATGTAAGAGCCTAGTCATGCCTTATATACCCTATGAAGAGTTTGGGTTGTGGGGCCAGCAAGTGGTATAGTAGTTAAGGTGCTGGACTCCAATATGCTAACCATGGTTCAAGTCCTGGACCCAGTGGCTTGAGACTCACAACTGGAGTGTGTGCATGCATGTCCAAAATCCCAGGAGGAGAAAAGATTGCAACATGCCCCCCCCGGGGGGGAGGGTGATTTATCACTTTTTCTCTCCCTGTCTCTTTGGTAAGCATGTGCCCTATAACAAAAATCTCTAAAAAAAAAAAAAAGAGAAAGAGTTCAGGTTGCTGTGTGTAATGGAAAGGCATGGAGGGAGTCTAAATAAGGAGAAAACAAGGTCACAGAGGCCAGGAGGCTATTGCTGAAGTAGAAGGGCAAGATAATGATGGTATGGACAAGGGCAATGCCCTTGGTCACCATGAGGCCTTGCTAGGAGTGTGGGTCCCAGTCATAGCACACCAAACCAAGAAAACCTACCTGCTGGACCTTACTGAAGGGCTGGCGACTGGAAATGCAAGGCAAGGTTTGCAGATGAGGGAAATGCAGCAGGGGGCCAGGGACTGCCAATGTGCTCACAGACAGACACTGTTTAACTTCTGTCTTAGCTTCCCACAAAAGTATTTGCCATCTTAGTAGACAAGGGATATACAGCAAAAAGTGCGTACAGTAAACAAAGGCAGTATAATCAAAGCTGTTTTCCTCCTGAGCTGAAATCCCAGACCACCTTGCCAAATGAGGCCAGTTAAAGTAAATATAATAAATGCCTCTTCCAGACAGACGCACTTCTGAAAACATAGCAAGGAGATGAGACGATGTGCTGACCAAGCAGGTTCACCGGGGCGAATTAGACATAGAAAGGACAGACCAGCTGGCAAAAGGGCCTGGCAGAGAGCTAGAGACAGTCAAAAAAAATTAAGCTAAACAAAAAAGCTGAAATGATACAGGAGGGAACCAATTCTACACATAGCCCATCCTCGCCTAGAGCTGCAGGCTGATTTGGCAATTAGCAATTCTACAAAAATGATAGCTAGTTGTTCAGATAGAAAGTCCTCCATTAAAACACTAGCAATATAGAGAACCCAGTCACGTCCTACTTAGCATTCCCCACTGTCAGAGAAGAGGAAAATCTTCTGTTCTTTAGTCATCTATCTTATGCCAGTCACCTTCACATAGTTATAGTTACAGCTTATTTCATCTTCACAGCAACCTTGGAGGTAGGTATTGTTAGGATCCCCATTTTATGGATAAGGAAACTGAAGGTGAAGGAGTTTTCCCAAGTTCACAAACCAGCAAGGGACACAGCTTGGTTTTTGTTTGTTTGTTTGTTTTTTCCAGAGACCAAGTCAGAAGGCTCTATGGAGGCTTCTACTATAGAAGTAAAATGTAAGGAGCAGGTCACATTTAAATGCTGCAGACCTGTAAGAAATGGGAAACTTATGATGGAGTAGTGGGCTTACACAGGTTGACTTTTTGTGTGTGAGAGTTGGATTTATGGGAAAAAAAATATATGTATATCACATAATTATCCCAGGGAGCTTACTGCTGGGGAGATTTATAAAGGCAAATAGCTTTACAAGATTAAGGGGGGATTATGGGCATATAAAGAAATCAAGCACAGAGCCACTTGCTGAGATGCTAGTCACAGGGTTTATTCTCTCTCTTACTATAGCTTGTGGGGGGAAAAAAGGAAGGACCATGAAGGGGAGAAAGGAAAAAAAAAAAAAACAGAGAGGTTTGATCCTAGACCTCAATAATTATACTCAATCCCTCTTCCCATTTTGGACCCTAAAGAGGAAAGTTTTTCAGCCTCCGAGGCTTACTCAATCCCTCTTCCCATTTTGGACCCTAACGAGGAAAGTTTTTCAGCCGACGAGGCCTCTGTGAGACCCTGAAACCTCCAGTTTTGCCTGAATTCTCTGCCCTGTCAATGTGGCAAAAGCCCAGACTTGGGACTCTGTATACAGACTTCTACTTCCCATGGGATTTGAGGCAACTGGTTTAACCTTTCTAAGCCTCTGTAAACAGAGAAAGATACCATTTCTCTCTCTCTCTCTCTCTCTCTCTCTCTCTCTCTCACACACACACACACACACACATAGGTTGGTGTTTGCAAGCATGTCCCAAGCAGGCTATGTAGGCTGCCACCTTCAAGGCCTCTGGCTGTGAGATCACACCGAATTGTGACCACCTTCCAAAGCCCACTCCATTGGGTCTCAAATGGAGGTGTGGTGTGAGAAGTGGGCTCATCAGGGTGCAAAGGCAGCGATGTGCTGTCCACAGGATTTTCCATGAAGTCCAAGACCCTGGTCCAGCTGGCAAATCAGCACTGACCAAGGCACTTGATGTGTACTTCACCCTGTCTGCACTCCCCGGACGTGCCAGGGCACAAACACAAGCCCAGTGCCAGACCTTGGAAGCCTGCGGTGTCATCGCAAGGTTTTACTGAATTTAAGGTGATGTTTCTGACATAGTACACGCCTCAGTAAGTGGACGGTGATGATGAACAAGAAGAAAGAGGATGGGGAAGTCTGTGAGCTCATGGAGGGCTTGGGCTGAGCCATTGAATCAGTGTGGCACAGTAGGAGGAACCCTGCTCCTTGAAGTGTGGTGTGGAGGTCACGCACTGGGACCTCTTCCTCCAAACCCGCTAAAGCAGAGCCTGCTTTTCAGAAGGCCCCAGGAAATTTACATTAGTGGGCAAGAAGCACTCACATGGAGCTCAGCTTTCAAAGTCTCAATCAGGACTGAGACCAGCTTCACGGACTTCCTGCATATTCTGCACTTCCATGTCCTGGTCTGAAGAACTTATCTACTTCGTAAGGTTGTTGTGAGGATTAAATGGAATAACGCAAGGGGACTTCAGAAAGTTTACGGAAAAATGAAATTAAAGTACGAGTTTATTTTGGAGCCAATTTTTTTAAGTCCATGCAGTTTTTTCACAGTATTTGTTCTCTGTGAACTTTTTGAAGATTCCTAATCTACATCTCTCTATAAGCACGTGGGATAGAACCCAGCATACAGGAGGCACTCATTCATTTCTATTATTTTTTTTTATTGTTCTCAATCCCCACAAAGCTCAGACCTGGATCTACAATAGTCTGGCTCTCCCTGGCCCAGAGAAAGGCCCCTTTTATTATCACAATTGACTCCCAACCCTTAAAGTTCAAGGGTGCTTATATTTGCTATTCCCTGCAGAAGCCCTTGTCTCTGAGACATTGGTACCTCTTAGTTGTGGAATCGAGAGCTTTCTGACTCCCTGGACCTCTGAGTCACTGAGAGAACTTGAAGCAGGCACCCCTTCCCAACCTCCCCCTTTGCTACACAGAGCTCAGGCTGGGGCACAGAATACCAAACATTTTTCCCCTTTATTCTCTGTAGGCAAATCCCAGAGAATTCCCTCTGGAGATCAGATTTGTTTCGGAACAACAGACTCCGTGTCTGCGGTGATACTTTCCTCCACTCGTGGCTTCTATGTCCTTAATGATACACGTTTTAGGCTCAGCCTCTTAGCCTGATGATGTCCACCTGGTCTAGGTGCTGTACCAGGGTCCCAAATATCACACACCCTACAGGCTCATCAAGGATCCTCCAGGTTAGAATTTGGCACCAGGTAACGGGCTGGCAACACCACTCTGCTATGGCAACAAAACCCAGTAAACTTTCTAGAAAACTCCTAGTGGAGGCAGGGATGGAGATTCTCAGTATCTGACAGGAATTTGATCAAAAAACAGCTTTCCTGCAAATTGTAAATACTTGTCTGGCCTGTGTGTGTGAGGGGACTCCTCCACTCTGTCATCAGGCCAGTGCCTGCAGTTTCACCAGGAGCAGGAAGGGGCTTGTCCTCAGCCGTCTACACTCTTGTGGACAGAAGCTCACCCTTGAGGATCTGTGACCAGGAAACAAGGCAAAAGGTGCTGGCACACATGGCCACATGAACACCGTGCTCTAACCCAGCCCACAGGGACTGCCCTGGGGCACCACCTGTCTGCCCAGGTGCCTCTGACTGGCACTTCTAACCAGACCAGCTGCCTCTCTCACAGTGCGGCAACCCCATCTCCCACCAAGCTGCTGATCAGAAAAACTACCAGCAGGACTCA